AGGCTGTGTCAACCTTGAGCCGGCGAGATTTGAACCACTGAACTGCAGATAACAGTCAGCTGAAGTGGCTTGCAGTACTGCACCCTAACCACTGCGCCACCTTGGCTCAAACCATGGTCCAATATGAAATGGGGTCCTTGTGTGATTTTCCACTATTAGCTTCAAAATGTAGATGTAAATGTAGATTGGACAAAACTGTTGGAAACAACCAACAAAACCATCATTCCCAGAAATACAGGGGGAAGTAGATGCCATTTTTTTTTGTAATGCACGGGACACAGCAAGTTTTTATCAAAGGCAAGGTCTTGACAAATATGCACCAACTGCAGGGGCATCCAGTCCTCAGGGAGAGTCAAAAAATCCAGATGACAGATCAGTCCAAGTAATGGAAGCCAAGTGTATAAAATAGTGGACGAATAGAAGAGGTAGGACACCAATTCAGATGGCTCAACCAATGAGATTTAACTCCCCACCACCACCGCAATGGCGGATGTGAGTGAAGCCTATGTACCTCGGCTTCAGTCTTATTAATATTTAACAAGGCTCCTTTGTACATGCAACGTTGTTTTCTGTATAAAGGGGTGGAGTTTTGGTCATACAGTCATGTCTGCCATTGCAACTTTTTGGCCCAGACCCTGAAGATAGCTCCGTGGATATTTTTTTCCCCATGATTATGATATCTTCCCTTGGCTTCAATCTCAAGAGAAGGAAAATGAACTGCTATAAGCTCTGGAAACAGAGAATTCCCAACCATTTTCAAGACAATTACAGGAAGAAGAGCCCTGGGTCTTCTTCCAGAGGGTGGCTGGAAGAACTAAAGTGACAATATTTTAGTCCTCCAGTAAAAAGGTTTCTGAGAACAGACCAATTTCACTAAATTGTTGTTCTGGAGAAAAGAGGAGGAGGAGGAAAGAGTAATAGGTATATTCACTGCTTTGAATTATTCAGAAAAATAATAAAAGTGGGTTGAAAATAAATAAATTCATTAAAATTGTACAGGACATCACCACTTCTTCCACAGGCAGAGATCATCAGCATAATATTGTAGCTCTTGTGATGAGCCTCCCAAAGACTATAAAACTGTAGACTTAATCATAATGCAATATTTTTTTTAAAAGAATTTTATGTTTTAAAAGCAACATCTTTAATCCTTTAAAGTGGAAAGTTAACTATATTTTTTTCCAAATCATAGTTCATTACAAGTCTATATCATAAGGACTGGATTATCCCCTTTTTCACCTCTCTTCCTCCACAACAGAGATTTCCCAACCTGGGGTGCCTACACCCTCATGGGATACGAGATGAAATTTCAGAGGGTGCTGCAAAAAGTGGCTTGTGTCACTTAGGCATGAGCCACAAGTCACAATTATTTTTTATAGAGAGTGTGGATATTGATCCAACATTTCCTAGGGGTGTGATGCATAGAACATATTGGGAACCACTGAGTCAACTCTGAAGCGAACCTGGCTGAAGCCATCTTGTGTTGCCTCATAGTTGCCACGAAGCCTGAGAGGGGGAAGTGAGGGGGAAGTAGATAGCCTGACTACAGTCAAAACAAAACTTTTTCCTGTGGGAACCATGGTCATTGTAACAGGTGGCTGTGGAAGGAGGAGGTTGCCAGCTATATTCATTGGAGAATGTGACCGGTGACACCTGGGAGGAGGGATTTTTAACTCTTTTAATAAGGTGAAAACTGCCGGAACTGTTAGAGTTGATTTTCACCGGCAGTGTCGATATGATGT